AGCATTAGTATGTAACCCTGATAAAGGCCACAACACATTGGTTCATTTCATCATCATTCTCATCATGTTACCGCTTTTTGCATCTCCTACTGAGTTTCTGCTCTGAATGGTACAAGGAGTAAAGCTGTTGTTGACCGGGCAACATATCTTCTCCATCTACTCAACTGGAGGAGGGGGGTCGCCAGCTGTGATATGAATCTGACACTGCCATGATTGGAATACAGTGACCCAGCAACACATGGTCTCTCTCTCCCTGTCTCTCTCTCTCTCTCTCTCTGAACAAGGTTATCAGCAGAGATTATCAGGTTAGGACAATGAATGGCTAGATCACATATGTAGCAAGTGTTTATAGCGGGAGCAAAACCAACCCAGTCCATGATTGTCATTTTATCTCATGTAGGACAATTGTTGTTTTGTGAGGGGAAAAAAAGAAAATAGATAAACAATTACTAATAGTGACAGACTAGTGATAACTAATTCTAATTGTAGCACTAGCACTTTTTGAACTCTGCAGTAGCAGCAGCAGAGCGATTTATGAACATATTCCATATTATAACACGTTCACACATCTGTTAAGTATTTGCATAATAGAATTATTAGCGGTGCTACTAATAAAACCATCACCATCAAGTTAAATACAGCTGCTGCTTCCTCCATGTAATCTCACACAGCGTCTACAGGGGTTACACAAGACAAGCACTTGTGAAAAACAACTTTAACTTTGAAAATACTAAAGCCTGCTAATGCTGCTACAAAAGTGGGTCATATGATGTTTCATACTAATTAAGTATTTATCAGCCCCCTATATACTTTATATACAGTATCTGTAGTATCCCTGGCGGCTAGTTTCAAAAATAGTGGATGCTGTTCTCCTCTCTCTCACTGGAGTTAGTCCTTGATTTTCTAGCTCCGTGCTCCTTGAGGTATTGATTAATTTAGCAGTTTTTTGACAGACGTGCCTGCAGTTTAAACACAGATTGTCTAGCTGCTTGAAATGTTGAGTTAGCTGCCAATAAAAAAGCCAATAAAATGCTGATTGCCACAACTCTTACGTTCCCAGATCCAGGAAACATCATTGAAACAAATGTATCATAACTATTTGAAATTATTGCCCGCTCTACAAATTTAAGAGACCCATTGTAATAAACAGTAAGTATTATTTCTCATTTGCATGAGCTGTCTATATCGATTTGTCTGTGGTCCTTTATTTTGTAGTCATGTGAAGAAAATTAAATGAAGCATCCACATTATATTTATAAGTCGAAAGACCAATAAAACATTATTTTGATTTTGGGTTTTGGGCAGAATGCAGTGAATCATATCTCAGATAGGTCCAACTCAGAGGTTATTAAGAGTTGGGCCACATCGCATGTATCATCTTCTTAATATAAAAACTTAATGTAGCTTGTTGAGGCTGCAGCAGCCGAGGCGAGTCTTTGGAGAAGGATGATGGCACGCTCTTAACACTTCACTGAACCATGAGCAGCACTTTTCAGACTTTACACCAGGGATGAAGCTATGGGGTCACTCCACTATCCACAATGAATTTCCTGCAATTAGGTGAGAGGTGGTGGTGAAGATGATACATGTGGGATATTGTGTTATACCCCAGAGTAGCAGGTGAATTAGAGGACGTCGTAAGTCTTTAGCGTATAATTTCAACACTTATGGCTTCCTGTGATGCTGTGCAGGATGTTATGGGGGAAAACATGCTGGGGAAAGAAGCTTTCTGATCAGTTAAAGGTTTTGAGACAAGCTCTCTGGCTCACAGTTTCACCTGTGTGTGTGTTTTTAAGGGTTTATAGCTCCGCTCTGAGATGTTACATGTCTGGCTTGTAGCGGTCAGTAAACACATGCTGTTTGCACTTTCACAGACCAAATGAATCCTGGAAACAAGGAGGTCAAACTGTGACCATGTTCATATCACAGACAGGCACTACATGAAATAAATGTTTGTATAAAAACAATGATAATGTCTATTTTGGGGCAAGAGTGGTTGTTCAGTCGTTCCAAACATACAACCCATCTCAAGTATCTCGAGATGTTTGAAGTTTTACTAGTTAAACTATAAAATTAAAATAACCTTAGAAGGTTATAGCTCACAGCTCAGATAAATGCAGCTCAAATAGTCACAAGTATATATATTTTGTAAAACATATATTTGCTTTCTTGCAGAGGGATGGATGAGAACATGATACCACTTCATATCTGTTAGAAGAAGCTGCCGTCTCATTCATTTCATGGTGCAAACAGCTTTGATTCCACAAACTAGGGCTGGGCAATGAGGCCAATAGTGTTATCAAAGTAAACATTTTCATGTCAGTCGATATATCGATTAATATGACATAAAAATCTAACTATTTCTTTTAAGATTAAAGACTGATTTTTGCTGCTGAGTGAAAGTTTAAGGAACCAGAAAGTGAATAGTGATTTTAAACTTGTATAGATATATGTTGAACATTTCTAATATTACTATTGCTGGAAACTATATCACAATAAATATTGTTACTCATTTATTGCCCAACCTTGTCAGAAAGTCAGTGCATTGAGCCAAGAAGGAGTCCTTCTCATAACCCCAGTAAAACCACAAATTGATGTATATACAATGCATTTTTAGTTCAAATCAAACAAACCAGTTTTAACATGTTAATTAGTGCAGTCTCTTCGCCAACAGGCTGCCATCTGCAGCTTCATATTCACCGTACAGACCAGAGAGTGGTATCGATCTCCTTATCTAACTCTCGACAAGACAACAAATAAGTGTATTTCTGGAAATGTCAAACTACGCATTTAGACAGTGAAAAGTCAGTGGGCTAATGGTGAAAACATAACAGCTAAACCGTATGAAAAGTATCTTACTCGAATTAGACAGCTGCATCATTGTGCTGTGATTGGTTCTAATGTCTGATAAAGAATGTAGGACCTCTCATTGGTCCACTGGCAGGAGAAGAGGTCAAAGAATCACTATAGCGTCAGTTCTCCTACTGACGCCGCAATGAATCTGAACTCACCACCGGCACCTGTAATGCTGCAATATCCACTGATCCTTGTCAAGTTTTTCCACTCAAGCCTAATGGAAAACATCTGCTCCCACATACTGCACATGCACAATAAAAAGGTCAACACAGAAAAGCTGCCTGTTGATAACAACTTAATAAGATATATCACTGTCAAGCATCATCTGTGCTGCCGGCCTAATCACGAGCCCCTCCTCGGCCTCCCCCAACCCCCCTAATGTCCATCACATTAAAGTTCTTATTAGAGAGCTCCTCCATCTTGGGAGCGAGCTGAGCTCTATATACCACTGCAGGTCAGGACGGAAGACAGGGGTGAAGTTGAGAGGAGGCGTCAGTAAGCCCCTCCATGCTGTTAAAGCTGTTTGAGGACTAATTCACTATAGGGCACAGCAGGCCATGATTTCTGCCAGGTCACAGGACAGAAATCCTCAGACAAACACGAGCAAACATCACCTTTGGAACACAGTTGTCCAGGCAACATGGTGATGAATGAAATGATTTGCTGTACAATGGGGAGGAGGAGGAAGAGCTGATCAGAAACCGAACTGTGATGGTTGGTAGTGATCAACATGGTGCGACTGCTCCAGCAGGCAGACATGCGGGAGGGCAGGCCGGAGCTGGAGCACATGCAGGGGCAGCAAGGTGCTCTTCATCCGCTCACACGCCCGCTGATGTGCGCGGGAAGCAAACAATCCGCGCACAAAGGCGGCGCGGCCGTTCACGATGAGCCGCTGTCACCCGCGGTAATCTTGCGAATATCACTCATATTTAGGTCAATCTGAAAGTAATACCGTTTTCGCATCAGCCAACCCCCCACCCACCCCACACACCATCCTCTCTTTCTCCTCCGACCCCCACACACATCCCCGGCCAAGGATGGATGCTGGTTTCAGTCCACGATCAATGCAAGCGCACCACAGCCCTTTAGCGCATCACAATAAATAAACGCATCCCATCACCACGCCTCGGAATAAACTGACAGCGAAAAGAAGAAAACACACCTGGCACACAAAACAACATGCAGCCACATTCCCTGCAGGCTGTCATATTCTAGCATCTTTTCTCTCTCAAGCATTTTGCACAGATGAGGATGGGGAAGGGGGGGGGGAGGCTGTGAGGCGAGCGGAATGAGGAAACTGACATTGCTGCCTGCTTACTGTAAAATAAATTCCCTCGGGGTGGGGGGAGACGGAGAGCCTCCTTTTTGTCTTCGCTCTGGACTCCCCTCCTGTCCGACGTGCGAATTCCCCCCGAAATTCAGACCATGCAAAAAAAAAAAAAAAAAAACTGGCAGTCAGTCATTCCATGCCTCCCTCCGATGTGATCGGTCCGGTGGTGTGTGTGTGTGTGAGACGGGAGAGAGGCGAGCCTGCATCGGAGAGAGGAGACTACCAGCCAGCTGTGGTGGAGGAGGAGGAGGAGGAGGAAGTGAGGAGGGAAGAGGAGCGGCCGAGCCGGAGCACTGCGCACGGGAGAGAGAGAGGAGGCTGGGCGAGGGAGAGAGAGGCAGAGATAACACTCTCACTCTCTCTCTCTCTTTCTCTCTCTCTCTCTCTCTCTCTCTCTCTCTATTTTACGATGCAACATCACACCCCCACCCCCTCCTCCCCGCCAGAGAGACTCTAACACACACGGCCTTGGGTACCATCGGCAGCAGCGACACCCACCGGTGATGAGAGGCAGTGCGGTGTGGGATGTGATTAATGCCACAGAGGCAGCAGCAGCTGGAGAGGGAAACATGCTGTCATCGTCAATCAGGTACCTCAGGGCATCACAGGTAGCCTAAATATGAAAGTCCAGACGATTAATAATGATCTCGAGGTGATTTTCATATTCTGTTGCAAGAGTTGTGTTATTATTGGAAAGAAGAAAGCATGACTTTTGGGATATAATGATTCTTTAGCCTTCAATGTGATTGAGATGGCTATCATGCAACATTTTATGGCCTTGCACAAAAAAGCCACCTCCTTACATCACTGACCTGCTCCACCCTCACAGCCCAAGTAGGTCACTTAGCTCCTCTGCTCATCGTCAAGTTGTGTCCCCAACTCTGTGAAAGCAATCCATACATTTTCATTTTCTTTATGTGGAGATCTACCACAACAACTGTCATAACATGTTTATCCAAGGACTCCACTAGAGGAGCTTTGCATGACTCAGTCCAAAAAGTCCTTATTCATCTCTGTTCTGTCTGATATTAGCTCAGGCCTCACAAGAGGTCTCCTTAAAAGTGTACTTTCTTCCGATTGGCCAAACATCTAGAAGCCTGCCAGGTGGTATTCCTCTTAATGTTGTAGAGGTTCTGAAAGCAAACTGTAAAACTTTGTAACTAGTATCTTAACCAACATAATTCATTGTTAACTTTTCAAATCCATCTGTACACGTGTGGGATTGAATCTGCAGCAACAAAGAGGATTTAGTCTTTCAGCAACAATGCATTTCAATATTTTTCACTATATATGCCCCATCAATATTTGTATGTGAGGGAAATGTGCTAAAATGTGAAGTGGAAAACATCTGCTGTCTGGAAATACAAAAGCTAATATTGCGACTGAAATGCTATTCAACTGTATAGTAAACTAGCACCATCAGTTATTTGGAGTCCATGAAATGCCAATAATACTACTCAAGCAGTCATAAATACATCTTCCTAATATTTCTGGACACATCTTTAGTGATGGTCCTGCATCATTGGGTGTTTCGGGTCTTTCAACATCATACACCCTTCTCCAGATGACCCAGCTTGGGCTGATCAGAACCAAACTTGTGTCCGGATGGTACACAAGTTACTCTGCCCCCATGGCTCTCCACCTTTGTTACCTTTGCTTACATGACAGAAAATAAGGAAAAGAATAATAGGTCCCATTTAAGCTGTTCAATGGGCCAGCTCATCTTTTACCTGAGTAGTTGCCTTCTTCCTTATGGTTGTTTCTTTGGTCTCTCATTCAGCAAATCAAGATGCACAGAAAAAATGTGTCCTCAAGAAAACATTAGCTTGGAAGTTAATGGAATATTGTTCAGATTTTGAGGCTTTCTTTGTGCTGTATGGCAGACTTGTGTCTGGCTGTAAGTCAGTGTCACACCCACAGTGTGGTAGATGGAGCGGTAAAAAAATTCTACTTTAGTCAAATACAGCTTAATATAAAATGATTTCATTAGCAATATGCAAATGAGTCATGCGTACACAGACAGAGAATCAGTGACATTCTGACTCGCTGCACACAGTGAAAGGAAAACTTCTAAGTTGTAATTCTGTGTCCCTCTGAATGTTCATTCATCTGTCGTTACAATTCCATGCATGTTGCTGAGGTCTGGTTTATTTTCTCATGTATCCATTTTTTTCCCAGTTTAAACAATATGGGTGACGCAAGTGTGTGGAGGCAATAGCAGAACATTACAGCTTTATGTCTCTCACTAAGCCACACCCACTTCTTGTGATCCAATCACATGCTAAGGATTTGATTTCATACTTACACACCATCCACATATTCTGTTACACTTGAAAATAGGTCACATGACTTTTAGTACACTGTGACTTAAAAGTGCTGCCGTCAAAAAGTCTCTATTTATCTTAAAATGCCTGTTAGATCATCAGGTGAACCTCTGGCTGAAAGTGTCAATACATGCTAATAAGGCCTCATTAGGGGGCCTCTGATTGGACGAACATCTAGACGCCTGCTATGGGGGAGCAGTATTTGTGGACATAACCTCCTCTTCTTTCTGGTGTGAAAGTCCTGAAACCAAAACTGTGACACTAAAGCTGCTTTCATACATACCAGCACTCCAGCATGTGCGAAAGCAAATGTCCGAGGGAGATGCTCTGTGGATTCTGCAGACTTTCTCTGCCTAACCTCTGAGTATAGTCAGTAGAAAGTAGATCACGTGATCTCCGCAGCAGAGTTAATACGTCACTTCCTGCCTCTGTCTGCTGCACTCAGCTGCTCCACCTCTCGCCTAAATGATGTGAGGATGTGATGGGGTTGTGAACACGTCTGTGCAGAAAACCTCCCGCTGTGTTGTATATGTGTGAAAGACAAACTGCGGGTAAACTTAGCCATAGCCAATTCGATTTTACCCAGGTCATGACTGAAAACAGTATAGGTGACTAGTAGCTAAGAGTAAATCACAGAATAACTGATTCTGAATGGAAACTCCTCAAATCCATCCTTACATGTTGGAGTCTGTCATCCACCGTTATATCACGGAAAACCAGATAATAATGTAAAAACCAGAGATGTTCTGCAGAAATCTTTTTTGCTGTGGATGTTAGTTCTGTCCAATCACATATTCTCAGTCAGATTCAATCACTGACGCTGTGCACCAATTATTAGTTATTACAGGAACATAAAAGAGTTCTGGTAAAAGGAGAGATGTGGTGTAAGATCATATGAACCTGAATGGAAGACTCAACTTCACACCCAGCTTCTGAAGGATACGGGTCACTGTAACACTCAGAAAGCCTTGTCAAGCCACCTGCAAACTGAAGGGTGGTGAAGAGTGCTTTATAAATACTGGGATATCTAAGTTTAAACTCCAAACCTCTTGGTTGGCAGACAGCTGGTTTTTACCTGCGAACTACAGTGTGTGCCAGTGCAGTCAGTTCCTCACAGCCAACAACAGTTTCCCTGTGAAAGCGTGTCTGAGTCTTGTGAAGGAGGAACGTTGAAGTGAAAGAAATGGAAAGACAATAATCATTAGAAAAAGTACATCTTGTACTTTTCAAGTGAGAGCCTCAGCAGGAGAAGCTGAACAGGATGTGTCAGTTCAGGCTTTCTACACTGAAGGGATGATCACTGAGTTGTGAAGCTTCTGGACAGAGTAGGGATAAAACCACCACAGTTGGGTGGACCGGCCTGACCAGGGTTTAAATCCCAGTTGCAGCATAACTGCTGTAAGTTCAGGTGCTGCCTGCAATTCAGGAATCATTTGTGAAAAGTGTAAAAGTCCTCACTTAAACAGATGTTGCATGGAGTGCGGCGCACCCTGCATATTGCATATGGCAACCCCAAACAAGGCCCACACATTTGGGGGGTTTCATCCCTGGGTGTTCCTGCGCTCTGAAGACAGGAGGAAAAGGAAACTGCTTTGTGGCAGATAGCAAATGTAAAGAGTTGCTGCACATTAAAATAGGTTTTTTTGTGTTTTAATGAAAGACATTACTACTTTTAATGTCACAATTATTACCATAATTGTAAAAAAATATATAAATGTATGTGTTGGACATGGCTCATAACGCCACCTGATGTTTCAAACCATTGCAGGGCTAAGGCTTACGGATTTGGATGTTTCTACGCCATGACATTTAGATATAAATGAAAAAAGAAAGGTGGCCGGAATTTGGAAAGCCACGCTCCTTTTCAAATCTATACCAAAACTAAACCAACCACATTGTCTTTGTGTGTGTGTGCATTCTAAAGTCATTTTTTTTTATTTTCCAGGGAAGGACCCTTCAGCCAAAACTTCGGGGTTAAGCTACACTTTAAAGATTGTTTTGTAACACCTTCAAAGTCCATTCGACCCAAGCACATTGTTTCACTCTGTGTCCAGAATGAACCAATATTTCCGCCTTCACAACACCACCCACACTGCTCTGGGTCCTTACCAACTGAAACGAGACATAGCCCTTTAGGAAAACTGGCAAGCAAGAATATAATACATGCACACGCCAAACCAGGACAAAGCCTTTACAAGAGGGAGTCAGATCACAAGAGGACACTAGAAAAGAGTTTATAACCCAGTTGATCTGAGCTCTGTACATCCTCCTTTCTATCTGTGGATCTATCTATATTTGTCTCCCTCTCTTTCTCTCAGTCCCTCTTTGTCTCACATTTCTTTGTGCAGTCAACTGTAAGCTATTTCCAAATGCCACCGTCAATGGCATCAATGGCAAACAAAATCTTGCACGCATTGTTCTTGCATGCACTGTGTGCTTCACTGCGCACAAAATTACTTTGAATGTTCTGATTATCTGCACACACCACAGTCAAAATGTCATACAGCAGGAGAGGCAGCACTTTAATACACACCAAATATTTAAATGTCACCACATGGTAGCATATGTATTTGTGTTGCAACAATGTTAACTGCTATTAATCTTAGTGTCAACTCCTTGACTTGCTGTATACTCCACAGTACGCTGTCTTTTTGCTGTTTCGTGCACTATACTCCATTTCAGCTATTCTTATCCATCGCCTCTCCTCCGCTGCTCTAATGACCTGAGATCTCCCCGGGGATCATTAAAGTTTCATCTGACCTAATCTAAAAATTGAAGTCCCCTTAAGCCAGGCACTTGTCTGCTCCAGTGGAGCTGCTCGGTGTCCATCGGCAGGAAGAAATGTGGTTGTATTGCATGAGAAGCTGTTCGTAGGTGTGTG